ATGAAGTCTGAATGAGAATGAAGGTAGGCTGAGTGTGATTGTGTGTTTTTTTTGTGTATTAATAATATTAATTTAAAAGTCTGATTATAACACAGAACACAGGCACACACACATACATCAAGGTTGGCACACAAACAGTGTCAGACAACGGCACATACATGCACAGGCAAACACAGAAACACAGACAAGCACACACAAGCATAAACAGGGCTACATATACACAGGCAGTTTCACACATACAGGATACACAGAAACAGGCATAAAGAGTTAGCACACATAGACACAGGTACCCACACAGGCATACATATAGACACATTATATATATTTACAGTTCAATTGATTACAAGCCTCTGTCACATAGTGATGGAAGGAGAAGAGGAAGAAAACCACCGGGCCCTGTGCTTCTAACTCCATGATCTTTGCTCTATTGCTGCCATGATGTTCTCCTGCCCAGTCTCCTTGCTGAACCATGAGCAGAAGCAGATTTTCTACCTAAACTGTGCTAGTATTCCACTTCTGCTCCAGAGCCGAGAGACGATGAGGAAACAGGGTAAAGGGAGTAATTTGTGCTACTGCCCCCCCACACCCACCCCAAGATACGCCAGTACTCTAATAGTTATTTAGTGTATTGTATTAATAACCCTTCTTCAATAGCTTGGCCAGGGATAACTCCAAAGCCCAATTGCAATAAGGGCCATTGTAACTCTGGAAGTTCTGCCACTGGTATGAAGTTTTATCTAAAAAAACCTTTCTACAGAGTGTGGGAGGAAAATGGTGATTTACAGTCCTCCTGGAGAGATACGGGATAGAATGGTTGAGTAATTCCATGGTGAAAGCAATAGAGTTGTAAGGGATGATGTAGATGAGGCTTTATTGGCTAAATTTCACTTTTCATTCCTGTGCAATCTAAAATAAAAACTTGCAGAAGTATATACATTTTAGGAGGGAAGTAGTTAATGATATATATATTTGCACATATATAAGAGCATTGGAACAATCAATATAGTGAGTATATTTGCATAAACATCATCTTTATATTTGAAAACCTCATAATTAATAAATACCTATTAGCATTTAAATAGAGTTGAAAAAGCATCACACATAAATGTATTTTCCCTACACAGATTTATAGGTAATCATAATATATGCATAATTTATAAAATATAATTTAAGTTCTTATTCGCGCACACAAAAGAAGGAAGACAGAGATTTAGAACTCCGTAAAATTTTAAATGAGCATACCACAGTATCCACAATGACTATCCACTACAAACCAAATTTTAAACTGATTTGGGAAGTAAAAACAAGTCAGTTGTAGTTTGTTTGGGGCACGTATTATTCACTAATAGCCAATTAGTAAAAAAAAAAAAAACACTGACTTTCAAAAGTCATCTTGAACTGACATAGATAACCCTCTGGATGCTTATTAGCTGTTACGAAAAGCTCCTTCACAATTGACAATGCTTGACTTGCCAAGGAGAAGGTATTCAGCACAAAAAGTGATGTAATAAAAAGATCCCTGCTGGCAGATTTCCGTTGCCAAGAGGCATAGAATGATCAATTAAATAAAATAGCAGGAATCTCTGGAATTTCTACTATGTCATGAGAAGGCAAGAAACTACCTCTCTATTTCCCACACCATGTAAAGGTGTCATGAAGTGGGACAAAATGTTAAATTAGAATGGGTCACTTGGACTCTGTACAAACCAAAGAGGATATTAATATATGGAGTTCATTCCAGATTGAAAGCTATGCTATTGTAGGCTTGTCTGGGTCCAGATATCAAGAGGATTCAGCTAGACACTCATGTCTTGAACAAATGACTTGATCGTTTACAAGGTTTTTATAACACAGAAGAACTCAAAGCTAAAGATGGCTATATCAAGAAACATGAATATCGGAATTTATGTGTGTGACAGAACCGCCTGTCTTTGGGTTATGTTTCTCCTTCCTTCATTCGTCTGTTTGCTCGGTTATTTCTTTGCCCGTACAGCCCCCTTTGTTTCCCCGCATTGTTTCCCGAATGACTACCGATTACGCGACCACTGGGAAGCTGGCGTGTGCAGTCAATTGACCACCCAGTATCTGCGGTTAACCACAGCTTAATTGACTGTTACTGGGTGGTCGCGGTTACACCTAGCCGCCACATGGCGGTGTTATGGAGCTCCCCCGGGCAGCCAGCAGTGCTCTGCCTAGCTGCAGTACACCAAAAGCGGACACTTTTCCTTTCAAGCACCGCTGAGCTACCAGCCAACGGGTCTTCAGCTCCGTTCGTGAGCTGAACGGTGGAGCATTCGGAACTTTGAGTTTTATATTGCACTCTATGTGAAGGGACCCAGATAGCTATGCCATGGAGCCTGTTCATGGAATTAAAGCGCCATTCACCTAATAATGTGCGCTTAGACCTGAGCTATCTGTGAGCATGTTACATGTCTATATTTCTTGTAACAGTTTTAACACTTTAGATTTTAACAGTAATTTCTATCCTGTTGTCCCGACTTGCATAATGGTGATTTGCCTTTGTCCTGGGAGATAATTAAATTACTTCTCAATTATCTCCAGGGCAGAAGGGAGGAAGCCAGGATGCATTGTGAGAATGTATTGTGACTGTATGTCCTAATTTGATACCTGTCTGTCCTTTGTGACAGTCTCCCATTTGGTCCCCTTGGGGAATGTCCACCAAGTGGGAGACCTGCATAAATATGGGCAGATAGCCCTCATTAAGGCCAGATCTTGTTTTACCCTCAATACGGAGCTTGGTCTCGTGATTGGGGGAGATTTACTATATGCATATAGAGACAGATTGCTGGGAACGTAAGCCTGTATCGGTTCATCTGTTAGCAGCGATTTGTGGGATTACTGTTCGGGAGTTTGGAGTATTACTAAGTATGCTGTCCGGGAAATAGGCACATTCTCCTGGTTCCAGTTCGGGAGTTTGGGGTTCTAAAGTAGTCGTGCCTGCATTTCTGCAAGGGGAAGCTCTACTTAACAGCGGTTTCACTCCTTTATGCCGGGAGTGTCTTAACAATGCGTATTTAGTCTTTCACATGTACTTCACAGAGTAAATACATCAAATTCAGTGTGTTGGCTATAATTGAAAAGCTTGCAAATCAGGTGGCAACAGTCACACTGCTGTGTAAAATTGAGATATGGCTACTCCTATATCTCAAATCTTCCCACACTTGATGCTGGGAGTGTGAATGGAATCCAGAATGCTAAAATGTGATGGGGAATGTTTTTATTTGAAAGATAGGCAGTGCAATCATCCACAGTGTACTCTCGGTAATCACATTATGTGTATTGTTGATCAAATGGATAGATTTTTGGAAGATGCTGGAGGTAATCTATTTGTCTTTGTCCATACTGATACTGATAGTGCAAGGCTTCCAAACAAAGGGATCAGGGATTTAGGATGCAAGCTAAAGAAATAGACTTCCAAAATAATAATAAAACTACTAATATTTTTCCAGATATTGTATGTGTTCTATGGACCGAAAAAAATGAAGAAGCTCTTTTACATGGCTGTCTTGAAATTACTAGAAGGGTTTAAGTCTTGATCTGATTCTTTTCATGCAGGGGCAATTTATTTGCAAATAGTTTACATGTAATGTAAACTGTGTAGGCAGACTGGGGCTGTGTTACTCTCAGAACCATACCTAATGCATGCAATAAAATTTCCAAGGTGCTTAGTGATCCTTTAACTTAGTTCCAAATGCAACAGGTAAGAAGAGGGATCTGTAGTTAACATAAATATATTGTGACAGAGTGCAGGACATTTTTATTGATGGTGTGTATATTTCTCCAAAAGCATTGCAATATGTGATCTAATAGCCCCAGGAAGAATGTTTCTTTTAGTCAGAGCAATTCTGTGATTTAATATGGGTTCCTGAGGTGGAGCATTTGGAGTGAAGGGAGGGCCAGTGCTCCACTCCACAGTTTACAACACAACACAACAAGCACAACAGGTGAGCAATCCAGTCCAGGAGTTCCGGATCACGCAGTTGCTCGCCTGTTAGCTCACCTGCTAGCACAAAGCTATTATAAAATGTCCTGTGAGGGATTCACCGGGAGAAGAACAAGCAGTGAGTGAGACTGCATTTCTTTCTACAAGAGTCTGTTGAAGAACCTTGTGTTCTGAAGGAGAAAAGAAACATTTGCATTTGAAAAAAGTCTGTGATAAAATGTGTGTTTTGTATTGCTGGCAGCGGGTAAGCTGCCCAACTGTAGTTAGTAACAAGAAGAGCAAGGCTTTTCTTTTTGTTTGTTTTATTTACTTGCCAGACCTCTTAATAAAAAGACTGCATTTACTTAAGGATATTCAATCCCCAATCACTGTAAGACGACAGCTGAATCCTACATATCAATAATTTTATGGTGACTTGAAGGGCTCTGGGGGTGACCTATCGATATGGAATATTTAGTTCTTGGAGAATTTTGGTAACAGGACCCAGTGTCTGGTGCCACAGCATAGTCAATTGGAAGATATCTATATACCTATATATTTATATCTATGACTGCCACCTTTTCTATTCAGGTTACAAATTGGATAATTACATCTCTGGGAGATGCTGAGGGTGCTTTATTGGATTTATCAATATGGTAATAATTATCTAGTGAGATGATACTTGGTGGCCTCAGAAAGATGGATGCCCTATGCAGTGCTTAAAGTGAGCACTTCATACAGCCCATTAAATGGCTAATTAAGTGGTGTGAGTACTGTTAAATCACTGTTCACAACAGAGATACCCAGATATCAATCCAGATGGCTTTTTTCACTATAGGGGGAAGCCCTATGGACATTATGGAGCTTGAGCCACTTTTCAGCCACTTGATGGCTAATTTCTCAGACCTCATGCCCTGTGTGCAGCTGTATACCTTGATGATGTCATAATTCATAGCACAGTAATTAACAAACGGAGCATACCGCACGCACACTTAGGAATCCAGGTGCTTATCAGGGCGGGGATGGCAAAACCCAGTTTAGTAAATAAAATAAATTAAGTCCAGGCACTCAGGATTGCTGTAGGAAGGCAAGTTTATCGTAACATTTTTTTTTTTTACAATTTGGTTACAATATACCTGCCTTCCTGCAGCAATCCTGAGTGCCTGGACCTAATTTATTTTGTAATGCATAGCACAGACTGGGACTCATATATAAGCAGAAGGTAAAGGCTGTGTTGGACAGCTTAAGAGAAGCTGGGCTATCAGCTAATCCCTCTAAGTGCTTTACTGGTTTGGCAGAGACCAAGTATCTGGGTTATGTTGTTTGTAGAGAGTTAGTAAAACCCCATATTAACAAAGTAGGAGCCATAAAGAATTGGCTTTGGATAGTTAAAAAGAAGCAGGCTAGAGCTTTTCTATTGTTGGCTATATCACTTTTCTATTGTTGGCTAAATCACATATTATGATTAGAGCTTCTCTCTTGAAGCAAGAAGTCCAGACATAGTTCCATGGGACAGTAATACAGAAAAGTATTTTGCAGATCTATAGCTATACTTGTAGAACCTGATTTCAAGTAAGACTTATTCTTGCAGACTGATGTCTCTGAGGTGGGAGTTGTTGGTGTGCTTACCCAGTACATATAATCAAGAAGGAGTGCTTGGCAATCAAGAGGGCTATGGAGACTTCTGAAATCTTGGAAGGTCCTACACTACCAGCTTAATGTCTGCTCTTATAACATTAACCACTTACTTGGGGAAAAAAATATTCCATCTGGGGCTCTCTGCAGGTGAGGGCTAAATAGGGCTTTAGAATGAGGCACCTGTGACAGGGAGGGTTGCAAAACCAGGGAGTTGACCTAGACTCACAAATATATTTATATATGAAAACCCTTAAAGGGATTCTATAGTGCCAGGAAAACATACCTGTAACGGACCGTTTTGCACAAAAGGGGAAAAAACCGTTTAGGCGATCGGCCCTCTTTCCGGAGATGCAGGCACAGCTACTGCAGAACACCAAACTCCTGAACTGGATACAAAATAGCACTCCAACTCCTGAACTGGAACCTCCCAAATAGCTGCTAGCAGACGAACAGGAAAAGCAGACAATCAGCTTACACTCCTGGCAATCAGTCTCTAACAGCATACAGTGAATCCCCCCAAGAACGAGACAAGGCTCCGTGTTAAGGGTCAAGCAGTGGTCTGTTTAATGAGGGCTACCTGCCCAGCTTTTATGCAGGTCTCCCACCTGGTGGACACTCCCCTAGGGGACCAGATGGGAGACTGTGACAAGGGACAGACATGTACCAATTACAGACATACAGAAGTAAAACATCCCCACAATGCATCCTGGCTTCCTCCCTCTGTCCTGGAGAAGTAATTCAATTATCTCCAAGGACAAAGGCAAAACTCCATTACACACGTGGGGACACAAAGACAGACTATCACTTTAAAATACATAATGTAACATTTATCACATAAAACACAGACATGTAACATATCCCCAGATAGCTGAATGGCACTTAGGTGAATGGCACTCAGACCACACGAATACAGTTTAATTGCCATGGAGCCAAAGTCTTTAATTCCACGAATAGGCTCCATGGCATAGCTATCTGGGTTAAAACATTCCTCCAACAGAACATACCGAATTTACAGGCATTCGTTAAATCTGTGCGAATTAGAACCAGGGGTTGGAGGTTCAACGGTGCCTGCACGTAAAAGTGTCCGGGTTTGGTGCATGAAAGCCGGGCAGGCAAGCGCTGGCTGCCCGGGGAGCTCCAGAACACCGCCATCGTGTGGCGGCTAAGTGTAACCGCGACCACCCAGTAACAATCAATTAAGCTGCGGTTAACCGCAGCTACTGGGTGGTCAATTGCCGGCACACGCTCGTTAAGCCGCGGTTAACCGCGGCTTCAGGGAGGTAAATGGAGGGCGCACTCCAGCTTCTGGGTGGCCAATTAAGGTCGCCGGCCGGCTTCCCACGGCTCTGGGGAGGCTGAAAATAAACTGTTTGTTTGGTAGATGGAATCTACCGAACGGCTGTGCAGAAAGGGAGAAATAAATCCTTCTGCACAGTAAAATTAACCCTTTAGCTGCCGGTCCATAATCCAAAGGCAGCAGGCGGGCAACCAGGCTTCTCCAATGCAATGTGGCGAGATTGGTCTCGTCACAATACCCATTTTCCTGGCACTGTAGGCAGCTGCAGTGCCCCCTTCCCTCATGCCCAACCTCCCACGGTGCTGAAGGAGTTAAAACTCCTTCAGTGACTTACCTGAATGCAGCGCCAAGCTCCCTCTGCGCTGGGTCAGGCTCTGCCCACGCTTCTCCCCTGTTGACGTCAGTCGCATTAGGATTTCCCCATAGGAAAACATTATTTATTGCTTTCCTATGGGGAAAAATCTGATGCTGGAGGTCCTCATGCAGAGCATGAGGACGTCCAGTGTCTGATAACGAACCAAAAGTCTTTTTTTCGATTCCGGAAGTCCCTCTAGTGGCTGGTAGACAGCAACCAGAGGAGGAGTTAACCCTCAGAGGTAATTATGGCAGTTTCTCAGAAAAGGGTTAAGGGACAAGGGACATTGCACTTAGACCACTTCAATGAGCTGAAGTGGTCTGAGTGCCTACAGTGTCCATTTAATGTGCATAAAAGGGTGCTGCTGGGGCCAATTCATACAATATACAAGATCCAGCACACTCACTCATCCAGTAAACAGCAACTTCAAAGCTCACAGATGTTAATTTATATATATATATATATATATATATATATATATATATATATAGTGCTAAAGCTGAATAAATACAGAAATCCTTTATCTGTCTGATAAATTATGAAAAATACATAACTTTATTTATTCATATGATTTGTTATGGGATAACATTTAGTCCAAACCTGCTAATTCACAATAATGTGGATTACAAGGTATTAAGAGTAACTTATTTCAAGTTGTGCTTTAATAAATGTGTTTTTCGTAATAAAATATGTAGCCTATTTTAGTGCATTAATAACTGTCTAGCACTTTTATAATAAAAAAAAATGGAAAGAAACTACTTATATGTGATTATGAATTTAAGTGTGCTGTTACATAAATTGATACATTAGGTATGAAATGTATTGCCTAATGACGCCTTCATTTTGCAAAAATTAATTGTAAGCTGTTACAAATGTGAACTTGTTTTGACAAACCTTCCTGCAACATTAAATCAATGAAAAAGAACAAATTAGCAAATATATAAGCACACAGCAATAAACAACACAGGTGAATAGAATAGAAAGTTTAAAAAAAAAATCAGTAATTGAACATGACAAGCAAACTATTAAAGCAACTTTTAGCCTGTAGCTAAAAAATTTTTTATTTCATATTATATTGTGAAACCCAGAAGAACGATATGGAAAAGAAAATGTATGTAATATTAATTAACACAACATTGTAATAGTCACAAATTAAATATAAATTGAATTTCTTTTATTTTTCTTTAAATTGATTTTTCTTCACAGAAGGAGATCACTATATATTTTTAACCAGTATTTACATAATTTATATGTTTGATAAAGACATTGATACCGTATATTCATTATGTTTTGTTTTGCTTTTGTCGCAGTTTTGACATAAGAACTTAATGACATAAAACTTGTAAAAGAAAATAGAAAGCAAATCATAATGTAAAAATGTTAAAAATATACAAGCTTTATATAAACTAATACTTACGTAGCATTAAAGGACCACTCTAGGCACCCAGAACACTTCAGCTTAATGAAGTGGTCTGGGTGCCAGGTCCTTCTAGGGTTAACCCATTCATAAACATAGAAACTGCTATGTTTATGAATGGGTTAAGCCTTCCCCCAAAGCCTCTAGTGGCTGTCTCATTGACAGCAGCTAGAGGCGCTTGTGTGCTTCTCACTGTGAAAATCACAGTGAGAGCACGCAAGCGTCTATAGGAAAGCATTGATAATGCTTTCCTATGCGACCGGCTGAATGCGCACGCAGCTCTTGACGCACGTGCGCATTCAGCTGATGGGGAGGAGAGGAGGTGGATCGGAGGCAGAGAGCTCCCCGCCCAGCGCTGTAAAAAGGTACGTTTTTACCCCTTTCCCCCTTCCAGAGCCGGGCGGGAGGGGGTCTCTGAGGGTGGGGGCACCCTCAGGGCACTATAGTGCCAGGAAAACGACTATGTTTTCCTGGCACCATAGTGGTCCTTTAAGGACAGAAGAAAATGCCCTTAAACCAGCATGCTGGTTTCTTCTAGTCCCTAGGCTACTATGATTATCTTTTATTGTTTTTTTATGTGCTTTTGTTAAATTGTAATGCATTATTATTTTTACTATTATTAGACTCAATATGTAATATAAAGGTATATAAAAGGTTTACTGTTGCAGGTAAGCTTCAGTTGAATTGAAATGCTAAATGAAGAAACCTGTTGCTTTTAAAATGCTTTAAAGATGATTAACTTAGAGGACGCCATTTCTCCCAGCTCCTGGGCAGCCAACTATAATCTAACAAATATCACCTTACACAGGGCCCATCCGCCCAAACAAAACACTTACCCGGCATCACAACGACAGGGCGAATGAATTGATGCCGTTCTTTCAAGCCACCAAGCAAACCAGGCAATGGTGCAGATCCACGGCCTACCGCACCACACCAGCCGTCAACCTCGAAGCACTTTTCGGCGGACCGCACGAGGGCTGGGACTACCTGGTATACTTACCGCCAGACACACCAACCACAGGCCGCCGCACTCCAAAACCTACAGCAGGCATCAACACCCAAGGTAGGGACATTGGGGAAATGCTCCTGAGACCGACCCAAACCACGCCAACGCACGTGGACTACCCGCAAAACATGGCTCCCGTCCCAGAAATAGAGGGAAGAAGGACCCTGAATAAAGAGCAACCCCAGGTCGGGCTAACTACTCCCAGACCTAACCAGAGGACTCCGCCCCCACCACCAAAGGGGATCTAAAAGTGCTCCTAGCAGATATACAGAGGCTACTGGCTGCTGATATAGCCCTGATCAAAAGAGATATGCAAACAGTCACAGACCGAATCACTATTACAGAAACAGACATAGCAGGAGTGCAGAACAATATGACCACCCTGAAAGACTCACTCCAACAGCTACACATGGAACAGCAAGTACTAGCAGCCCAAATAATGTCCCTCAAAGACAGA